AGAAGGAGAAGGAGAAGGAGAAGGAGAAGGAGAAGGAGAAGGAGAAGGAGAAGGAGAAGGAGAAGGAGAAGGAGAAGGAGAAGGAGAAGGAGAAGGAGACCTAAGTCAGTTAGGACCCTGACAGGCGCTGAGAGGCGGCTCTGGCAATTTTACAGGTAAAGCTGATAAGGAAAGCAGTGCGTCCAGGCGGAAGAGCTGCCCGGGTCTGCAGCTCCCAAGTGCGGGTGCTTTCCTGCAGGCGCCGGCAACCTGCCCTCCAGAGAGGCGCCCGGTCGCTGCCCCCAGTCTCTCCATCCTGCTGTGCTGAACATGCCTGTCCACCCGTTTCCTGAGAAGCCAAGGGCTTTGGGCTTGTTGCTTTTTTTTCTTTCCTCTCACAGTAAACAGAATAAGAGAGACAGTGGCTCACATGTCTGGCTGTGACAATAGGAGGTGACATAAGCTACGCAGTAACCTCATGCGTACATGCACACATGTGTACGGATGGATGGATGTCAACAGACACACACAGGGATGTACATGCGGTCTACCTGTAGCTGACACCATTTTTGTGGAAACACCCATCCTTGTGTGTGACACAGTCACCCTACAGATGATACATTCATCTGTGGCACATGTATGTACAGAGTGATCAAAAACCACACTGAATGTTTAAATAAAAGTTATTACAAGGGGCCGGAGATTTAGCTCAGTGGTTCCACCGCCTGCCTCACAAGCACAAGGTCCTGAGTTCGATCCCCCGGTACTGCAAAAACAAAACAAAACATTATTACAGTACAAGACGCACTACCTTTAAGCCCTCTCAGAATACTCCCACTCAATTCCAACACACTTATCATATCATTCTTGGCAATGTGTCTTTTACCGTAATAAGTTGGTCTAAAAAAATTAATATTCACCATATTTTTCAGGGACCCCCCTCTTATGCATGTCTGTCTGTATCTAGGGGTCCCCAATTTAAACGGTTTGACTTTTCAACTTCACAGTGGTATGAGAGCCATACATAGTCAGTAGAAATCGTACTTTGAATTTTGGGTTTTGAATTGAGGTCATTTGTAAGCTAGCAGCCTGTAGTGTGATCCTTCCTCCCAGCTTCAGTCCCAGCCAGCCACAAAATCAGGAGGGCACAGCAGATGCCAGAGAATCCCATGTGGCCAGGCTGTGGCATCTGGTAGGTAAGGTGACCCAGTGCATTTTCCATCTATGATATTTTTCACTTATGTGGCTTATTTTAAACGTATTTATAATATTTTGATTTTTGTATTTATGGGGTTGTAACCCCACACCAAACTGAGGAACATCTATCTATCTATCTATGCCTCATGTACATATATGTAAATAGATGTATGTATATACATATGTGTAAATATGTGTATATACAGTATATGTAAATAGATGTGTATATGTGTGTAAACGTATGTGTATGTATAGTATATGTAAATAGATGTGTGTACATATGAAAATGTATGTGTATATACCATATATGTAAATAGATGTGTGTATATATGTGAATGTATATGTGTATGCACAGTATATGTAAATAGATGTGTGCATATATAAATGTAAATGTGTACAGAGAGTATATGTAAAGAGACATGTGCATATATGTAAAGGTATATGTGTGTGTACAGTATATGTAAATAGATGTGTGTGCATATACATTGGTAACCAGTGCCAAGGTCACGAAATGACACTCACCCTATGGTGTTACACACTCAACTCTGTGTGGGGTTCACCCCTCTGAGCTGATGTCCAGACTGTAGGGGTCACAATCTGAAGCCTGGCAAACACTGAACAGGGAGGAATTGTGTCTGTGGGGCCCCAGACATCCCCAAGGTTGGTCCTGTGCACCCTGCTCCACCTGGCCCCGCAGGTGCATGCCTGTGGCTCTGAAGGACAGAGCCTCTAACAGCAGACCTTGGAAAACACCCCTCTTCCTGGGACTCTGGGGCTTCTTAGAGGAAGAAGTTTCTAGGATCCCGATGTGAGAAGTGGCATCTCCAGAGAAAAAGCAGCTTGTTGTTCCCGAGCCCCTCTGAACCCCTCTGAGCTCCTGTTTCTTCTAAATGCAGGGGGCGATAACTTTCCATGCGCAGTGACGGCTGTCTGTTCACATCTGGTGAACCTGCTCATCAGAGCTCCTTGTGTGCTTCTAACTCACACAGGACTTTGGGCCTCACCTGCTCACCTCTCAGTTTGCCCAAGGTGGGTCACAGATTAGGCAGCTCTGTTCAGAGCGGAGTGCCTGGGACTGTGGCATGCACCATATGGCTGTGTGACAGCCACGCCATGTGACAATGGTACCTGCCTTGGAAAGAACCCAAGGAGTGAGCCCTTTTTAATGGTCACTCTCCTGGCAGACTGCTGCAGGCAGGAGCAGGCACTAAATATCCAGCTCCTGCTCTGGAGAGCTTGGGCCACCGGCCTGCAGGGGCTGGGCTGCCCCCTCACTGGCAGCTTCCAGGGCTGCTGCAAAGTGGAGCCTCCAGGTCACATGGATCCCCTGCCCCTGCCAAGAGGGTGCGCAGGGTGCATGCTGCAGGACGTCTTCCAGTGTGGGAGCCGCCAGCCCTGCTTTCCAAGGTTACTCGAGGTAGGCTGGTCCTCCCTTGGGCACTGACATGAAGCAAGGGCAAAGGACAGAGAGATGACATTTATCATCTTTCTATGGAAAGACAGGCACCAGGCTAGGTTAGAGATTTTCCCCAACTGTGAGGTGTCACCTCACCCCTGTTGGTGGCCACCCACCAAGGCAGAGGATCTTGGAGTGCTGGCTGTCTGGGTGGCCTTGCAGGTGCCCGGCATGGGCAGCGCAGTAGGGCAGTTAGGTGCCTCCCTCTGCCTTTCCCCATGGTGGGATTTGCTTGGTGCCTGGAGCCATTACAGCTCCTCTGGTCAGGATGGGGCATGGCAGGCCCAAGGGCTGTTTCAGAGCCCCAGTGTGGGCGGCGGGCTGTGGCCAGGGTCTTCGCTAAGTCCTGGGATCTCCCCTCCCAAGTAGCCCTTCTCCCTGCTGGACACTCTTCCTCCCACTCGTGTTGGCAGGTTTCAGCAAATAGAAACACGGATACCCAGCTATAGTTGCTTTTCCAGTAGACATTGGAATTGTTTTAGTGTAAGTATGTCCCAAAGGTTGCATGGGGATGCTGCTTCCTCTGTGGCAACTCTGCCTCCTAGACCATGGGCTCCAGCTGGGCCTCTGAACCTGAAGTCTGTATGCACTGTGAGCTGAGCCTCCGGCCTGCGTGAACCAAGGCTGCTCACCAGGCAGCAGGACTGTGTGCAGAGGGTGGGTATGAGCCAGATCCTGCAGGCCTGGGAGAGGGGAGCTATGTCCACTCTCAGAGATCCACAGCCCTCCTGTGCAAGGGCTGCAGTCTCCTGTCCCCTAAACCCTGCCCCACAGCAGCACCCAGCCCTGTAGTGGACAGAGGACAGCACTCAGCCAATCCCTGGGCCACCCCACATCGGGAGGGCCAGGGTCCTCTAGCTGTCTGGGCAGCACCTGGTTCCTGGGCATCCAGACATGAGCCTGGAGGGAAGGGGAAGACTGGGCACGTGAGGGAGGTGCTAGCGACAGAGCCACCCCAACAGAAGGGGCTGCCTTCCCTGCTCCCACCCCAAGGCTTTCTTCACTGACAGACTTGCCTCGCCTCAGCTGAAGGAGGGATACTAGTAGTACAGCTCAGGAGAGTTTAGTAGTACAGCTTACCAGCTGAGGAGAACTCCCTGTTGGGCTTTGTAGGCATATCTCAGTCACTTTCTTCATTGCTAGGACAAAACACCCAATAGCCACAATTTAAAGGAGGAAAGGTTTATTTGGCTCACATTCCAATCCGTACTTGGCTGGTTCCAAGGCAAGGCTGGGGCACATGGCAGAGAAAGGCAGCTCACTTAAGGGCTGACAGGGAGCAGAAGGGAGGAGCTGGGGAGGGAGGTGCACCCTTCCAAGGTCCCCCAGTGACCGCCTCTTCCGACGAGGCCCCACCCAACAGCAACTCAGAAGCCCGCATGATGATCCAGTCGCCTTCCACAAGTCCCATCTCTGATCCCAAGAGCCTTTGGGGGGAATCTAGATATAAACCACAACAAGGCAAAAGCCAATTAGTAACTGTATTGTGCGGGGCTTATTTTCAGTTGCAATGGTTTGACAACACTGTTTAAACTAATTTAATTAGAAGAAATGTATGGGCTGTGTTACTGAACCATAGCTTCAGGAAAAGTTACACTTCCAGAAGCTCAAGTTTCTCTCTCTCTCTCTCTCCCTCCCTCCCTCCTTCCCTCTTCTCTTTCTTCTCCTCTCTCCTTCTCTTCATAATTCTGTTCTGTTTTCACCACTTTTTAGCTTCTCCTCAGGGCAGCTTCCCTGCACAGTGGCAAGCTGACCATCAACAAGACCCCTAAAGAAACCAGAGAATCTAGAAGAAAGCTCTGAAAACAGTCCCTGTGGTGTCCCTGGAGGTCCCACTTGGACCCAGTCCGGACTGTGCCCTGTGGCTGGAGAGACGCACTGGTCAGAGAGTGTGGATCCCACAGTCCAGGCCTGGGCGAAGCTCTCCCTGCCAGGCTGTGTTCAGCTAGGGCCTCACAGGGATGAGGGGTGGCTGGTGTGATCTTAAGCGCTTCACACAACCCCTCCTATCATCTTGAAGAGCACATGTTTAGGTGACTTCCAATGCCTGTGCCATTCA